AATGCCATATTGCACCTCTACCCGATCCCAAGTGCCCCTGCTTAGCCTGCACCAGCCTGATCCAAAAGGCCCCAGGTAGACAAGGCCCCAGGTAGACAAGCCCCAAAAGGGATGTGGTGGCGCTGTGGGCTAAACCGCAGAAGCCTGTGCTGCAGGGTCAGAAGACCAGCAATTGTAAGATCGAATCCACGCGACGGAGTGAGCTCCCGTCGCTTGTTCCAGCTCCCGCCAACCTAGCAGTTCGAAAGCATGCAAATGCAGGTAGATAAATAGCGACCACCTTGGTGGGAAGGTAACAGCGTTTCGTGTCTAAGTCGCACTGGCCATGTGACCACGGGAGATCATCTTCGGACAGAACGCTGGCTCTGTGGCTTGGAAACGGGGATGAGCACCACCCCCTAGAGTCGAACACGACTGGACAAAAATTGTCAAGGGGAACCTTTACCTTTAGACAAGCCCCATGGATTGCCATTTCCTTGCCTGAAGACTCAAGGGACAGCACAGGTGAAGCCGTGGTAGAAACATCACAGTTAAGGTGGTTTGAAGTGTTAACCTTGTTACTCTCGCTGTATAAGGTAGTTTTAGAACTTTTTCATGAAAGGAGGTACAGTGGTACTGTACCTCGATTTATGAAATTAATCCGTATTGGAATGGTGTTCATACATAGAAAAGTTTGGAAGTCAAGGAAATTTTTCCCATAGGAATGCTTTGAGAACCATTTAATCCGTACCAGTTGTTTTTCATTCTTATGTCAGGGCACTGTTTGCAAGTAGAGGCATTAGTTCCCGTAGGAACTAATGCAAAGCTGGTTAATCCATACTCTACTACTAGAGGGATAATTTTTTATTTTTCTTCTTCTTTTGACCTAAGATGAACTTAGGTCAAAAAAAGGGCAGGAAAGTCGAAGCTCCGTTCACAAGTCAAAGCAAAATTTTGCGAACGGAACATTCATAACTCGAAATGTTTATAAGTGGAGACGTTTGTAAGTCAAGGTACCACTGTATAAAAATTGTCAAAATAATAAAAAGCACATGCCTCTGAAAAGAGCTTTTTCACAGTGACCACTCAACTTTGTAGTCATTGGGTTGCCCATCATGGCACATTGGATTCATGAGTCTTAAATGGATCACAAGTGCCCACACTAATTTAATTTACTACACTTGTTTATTCCCAGTAACAGTATGTATAACTATGACCCATATTTAACTTAAAGTAGGGTGAAATTCAGGGCTTGAAGTAGTTATGATTTCTTTTTGCACAACCTTTATTCATTATCATTTTCTGTATTATCATGTATAAATGAAATCATTTGCTTTATTCTTATTTTACTAATGTGCTACCATTTGCCAGTCCAGCTTGAAAACAGGAAATCTCTCACAGGGGAATACTTAAAGCACTTGGCATGAATGAAACCTATTAGGACTGTCTTCGAATATTTTATTTCCCTGTAACAAGGATACCACTATGAAGCGCATACAAATGTGCTGTTCTAAAATAGCATATTGATGACTGTAGCAATAGTGGTGGTGTTTTACTATTTTTCTCTCATGCAGTGGTTCTGCAAGCATCAGATCTACAGAAAAGCAACAGAAGTGCACAACACAACAGAAACCTGGTACTGCCTACCATTTAGTGCACACCGTTCTGTTTGGATTGCTGGCTTTGAGCACAATGAGGTATTTCTGCATTTGACATATCTTATAGCCAGTGTGGTGTATAAGACAATGAATATAAACTATACACACCTTTACTGCTCATTTATTTTCCAGTTTTATGATGAATGCCTCCCTCTTTCAGTGTTACTTAAAATTGTATTTTTGGAAAACAACCTTACAGGCTAGGCAGTGGGTAGCAACGTATTGTTCTTATCTGTGCATATTAATCTAGACAACATAAACACTGGCCACATCAATTTTTTCTCTTCTGTCTTGCAGGATGAAATACCTTTGGACATCCCATGTATGCGTTTTTGCAGCTTTTGGCATCTGCAGCAGTGACATGTGGGGACTGATTTTGAGATTTGTCCATCTGTACACACCACAAAGGGTTAGAGCCACTATGTTGTGCTGTTTTTTCATGTTGCTCTATGGAGTTCAGCTATTTAAAGGCCAGTCTGAGATGAGTCAGAGATGAATTTGAAGTTTTAAGGGGCTTTTGGGGGACGTAATATTTGTTAAAGGAATGCTACTCAACTCCACTAGATGGTGGTGTTGTAGAACATATAGAAGCCATAAACAAAATAATGATTTTCATGAAAAATCATGGGAATGGTTTTCACAAATAGCCTGGTAAAATACTTTGCACCACAAAGAAACAAACGTTTTATATGACATTTTATTAAAATTCTTAATCGAAAGCGGTTCAAAGAGGGCAGCTAATTAGCAGCATGACAAGTTACTCTCTGATCTCAAAATGTCATTGTGAAGCATATATCTGTTTAATTTGTTCATCACTACTTTGATTTAAAAAAAAATTGAGTAAATTTAATTGTTGACTTTTCTGTCTAGGTATCTGTGACTAGATATTTAACACCAGCACTCATATTACTGTATCTGTGTTACAAGGTAGGGCTCTTATTTTTCCTCACTTTTGTAAAAAGAATTGTCTTTTTATGAAGAAAACACATATAAATATGCATATTATATTTCCGAGTTAATATGAGTCAGTTCACATTATTACATTTGTTTGTTTGTTTTGTTTCACTTATAAGCTGCTTTTTTCCAATTTGTTCGTGTGCTGTCCCTAATCAAGTATTCATTATAGAATTAATCTGAATATGTGAGGAAAGGGACCTGGGTAGTCTTCTTCTCTGTGAAAAGCAGTAGTCTAAAAGGAAAAGCCCCTTCTGGTCATGGGAGGCTCTCTGCACAGTCCAGATGGCTTAAAAATTGGGGGTTTAAATCACATTCACAGAAAGCACTGTCCTGCTCAAACTTCTGCTCTCCCTATAAAGAGAAGGATGACAGAGAAAGCAGGACTGGTCTGCTCTATAGGCCAGATTTCTGTACCAACACTTCTTGGTCCCATTGGACTGTTGGACTAAAGCCAGTTTAGTCCTGACAAGAGTAGGCCCTCTGAAACGAATGGGATTTCTAAATCGCTGCATTGTTAAATCCCATTCATTGTGATGAATGTACTGTGTTAGGGATTATGGTTGGATTTAGCTTACTGGCTCTTTTGTCTGCTCCCATCCTTTACTGAACTTCTTAGTTTCTTATTTATTCTTTTGTGTAATGATGGAATTTTGTTTGTGTTATGACATGCTGTGGCCATGTACAGGTCTTGAGTGCTCCGAAGCCCTGCTTCGTGGCCGGCCATCACAGCCTGTGGCTGGGCTTTTTCAGCAGTGGCCTCTCATGTTGACAAGCACTCTTCTTTGGGTGGTTTCCTGTTACCTCAATGAAATCATTTAAGCAGAGTTTTAAAAGGCTTTTTCCCCCTAGTCAGTCTGATGGACTGTTTTATTTGACTTTCTGCTTTAAAACTTGATGCTGTTTTAATAATTATATTCAAGAGTTGTTTTTTAATGTTTCATTGCTTAATACCGTGTGTCCGCGAAAATAAGACAGGGTCTTATATTAATTTTTGCTCCAAAAATGTATTACGGCTTATTTTCAGGGGATTTTTTTTCATGTACAACAATCTACATTGATTCAAACGCATTCATGTTCTCAGGGGATTTTTTTTGAATGGTGGAGGGCGGGGTTTCACTTCACTGGAGTTTATTTTGGGGGTAGGGCTTATATTACGAGCATCCTGAAAATCATACTAGGGCTTATTTTCAGGTTAGGGCTTATTTTCGAGGAAACAGGGTATATTTCATTCATTAATTGATTTTACCCTAAAAGCAGAACATGTTGGTTATCGTGATCTTCTTCATTTTGTTTACCAACCCATTTTCCTAATGATTTGGTTTCATTTACCAGATGGCATTGTGGCACTTTTAACTCAGTCATGAGGGCCTTGAGTTCCAAAACGAAAATCTAATAGAATTCTGCTGAAAGGCCTGTCGTCCTTCTGAGTCCTGCATACATACATAGTACTGATCAATGGTAGCTTTCTTAGTCTGTGGCATCTTTAAAGCTGGCTAGACTTATTGTGGCATGCTGAAAGTCTGTCTTAAAGGTGCCTTCAAATGCAATGTCCCTTCTGATTTTCTGCTTGGGGCCTCCATGCCTTGCACACAGGGTTCTGACCACAACTGGAAGCAAATGGGCAGCAACACTGGCTCAGCTGCGCACGCCCAATGCACTGCTGTGCAACCGTGTGGCTTAGCGAGAACATTGCTCACGTGTTTTTGTGACACGCCATTTAGTTATATATTTTAGTGCACCACAAGTTGAATTAGCAGTGCAGATGAAAGGCTAAATATATAATTAATCTGTGCTTGTGATTTGTTTTCTAAGGCTATAGGCCTCATCAGTCTTCAGTTTCAAACACTTGTTGCAAATACATCCTGCTTTCTGAATCTGAGAAATTTTCAGAGTAGCAAATGGTGACTGTGTATTGATTGGGATTTTATTTTACAACTGTTTTAAAAATAGTCACTGCTGCATGGTAATGCTTGTTTTCAGTACTTGCTCAGAAGCACATGATGACAATTTTTAGCATTTATTCATTGATGTCTGAAAAACGGTGTCCCCCAGTTCAAAGATCCTGTCATTCAGAAGCAGGCTTCATACAGGTTGAGGAGTGCAAAGGTTGTCATCTCTTCTCACAGAACAGATGATGGGTGCTGTCGATTCTGACAGCCACAATCCCCCCCCTTCAGTGGGAGGAGAAAAAGAAGAGCATGCTTCAGTTCAGTCAGACCCACACATTCTCAGACACATGATCCGAAGTGACCAGCTTAGTCATTTCTTTAGGCACATGGAAAGAGTGTGCTGGCAGACGAGGGTGGTCAGTACCCTTGTGCAGCCCTTTCTCCTTGTGTGTCGAGAGAAAGCCATTCAAAGCCAAGAAAGCTCTCCTCCTCCTGTAGCATTCCTTCAAAATATTTTGGTCCCTGAACCTAAACATGTCAACTGACCATCCTTCACATCTCATCTTGGGGAATCAGTTTGCACTGTCTTCTGCACTCTCTTGCGTTAGTATCAAGTCAGATAGGGAGTAGCTGTTCTCTCCCTCACAATAAAAATGCATGGGATTTTGTGGGGGGATTATGACGTAATCTTGAATAAGCTAAAGAAAGCTGCTTTGGAGGCGTGTGGCTGCTTTAAATCCAGATACAGCACTTGAAAGAATTTGTCATTCAGCTGCAGCTGTCATCTTGCAGGGTATCACAGAATACAGAAGATGTCTCTAGATTTGTTTAGCCCCTTCCTTGCCTGCACTTTAGCTCTGGAACTTGCTCACACACCTATGTGTGTGCATATGTACACACACACACACAGAGAGAGAGAGAGAGAGTATTCCTTCCCTGTTTCTAGACTCTTTATTTTTGTTTATCTTTTTATAAACTCTTGCAGACATTCATCTGCAACTCTAAAAAAGGGAAACTAAGGTCAAAAAGGGTGAAAAGGGTTAAACATTCTTATCCACAAATTTGTCACTTCTCTGTTAAAATTCACCCATTGCCATCTGTGTTTTGATAAACCAAGTGGCTGTTGGGGCTTGGAAAAATATGCATTTACATATATTGTTTGAATTTTTTTCCATCAGACGCAGATGATTTCCCCCCATCATCTGTTCTCCTGGGGAAGCATGTTTCTTTTTGAGTGGTGGCTGATTTGCATCGTTTGTTTTCTAACACAATATGCAAAACAGCGCATTAAATCTGAGGCACATGTTGATGCAGTCTTTCAGTTTACTGTCCTGTGGGTCTGCTCTTGTCTGTAGATTCTTTGCTTATCATGTTTCAAAATATGAGACTGCCATTGCTGAGCTGAGCAAAACATGTACTGCTTCCTACATCAGTTGCATTTCTCACCAGTACTTTCAGAGCAACCATTTCTAACAGCTGGAGGATTGAGCTGTATTCTGTCTGATATAGCTGATTCTCTGTGCTTTTCTCTCTCTGTGTGTGTGTTTATGTGATGCCATTTTTCTTCTAGTTCTGGCCTGGAGTGATGGCTGAGCTGTCAGAGCTGCGAGAATTCTATGACCCAGACACAGTGGAGCTGATGAACTGGATTAAGTAAGAGGATTTTTACTTTATTCAAATGAAATGCTGTTTAAAACAAGCTGATGTGCTTAGTGACAGTGCCCTCTGGCTCCATCAGTGACCTATATTGATCATTTCTAAAAAGTGGGCCATGAAGCACATGGAAAGCCTTTGGCCATGGCTAGTGGAGCCAGCAACATCACTGCAGTGCATGGAGGCTGTAATTGCAAGAGCTTTTTAGCTTTAACCTTTATAGTCAACTTCATCAGCTTTTAGGGCTGGGCTCTTCCTTCCAGGCTGCTCAGGGACTGAAATGCCCCCTTTTTTCAAGCCATAGGGATAGTCATCCCCCAAGACATTTGGCTGGTATGAATCTAGCCGCCTCCCTCCCTCCCTCTGGTATCACTGGGCTGAATCATATGGGTGGCACTCTTCCAGGCACAAAAGTACTGGGAAGATTTTCAACCATGACTTCTGTAGTGTGTCCTCATTTTGTGAAATAAGATCAAGTCACAGTTGCGATATATTTATATACTGCATTTTCCACAGTACTCAGAATAATTCACACATAGCAGTTCACCAGAATAAATAAATATAATAACTACAATTACCTAATTTCCTGATTCTTTCTGGACAGTTAACAGTTGTAATACATTACAATGTTAAATCATTTATAATCGATCTAACATTTTGAAAGTTTAAATAAGGAAGTCACTCTACCAATGGGAGAGATAGCATTTGCAAATATCAGCATTATGTAACTCACAGAGCATTTAACATTAAGAGACCCAACAGAAAGATATCCTATTCATAACGGATTAAAAGCAAAAGAGGGAAAAATAAACTAAAAGAGCTGTAAGGCACTTCAGATAGCCCACCGACAAGCTTTAGTAAGAGATTGACCCTTCACCAGAGTGTCACATGCTGAACAAAGAATGGACACTTATCACCCACGTGGCTTCCTCTAAACCAGGGGTGTCCAAGCTCCAAGCGCGCTTACCGGCAGCTGCGATCTCAGACAGCAGAGGCTGCCAGCTTCGACTCCGGCAGCTTTATGTGGCCAGGAGAGGTCCACCTATTGACGGGGATGGCACATTGCAGTCACACAGCCCCCCTCTCCCTTCCACTCCTGCTCCTTCCTTCCTTCCCTCTCTCGCCCCCTACTGTTGTGACATGCCCCAGCTGCATTCCGGCCGCAAATGCCAGCAGTGTAACTTGAAACTTTGGAATTTCTTTAAAAATAAAAAATTGCACTGGGCCACATTATGAGCCGACCTGGGCTGCATGCGCTCGGGCCGCAGTTTGGACAAGCCTGCTCTAAACACTAGGAAAGGAAAGAGGGAACAGCCTTCTCCCTGAGTATATGCAGGGCATAAAGAGTGATGCTATGCATCACTGCTTTGACTGTGTCTTTAATATTTCTTGTCTTTCCCATTTCCAAGAGGAGTATTTTGTGTTTTTTTAAAAAATATTTCTATACTTAATGTTTGAAACTTGAAGTATTGGCTTTTAATGGTGTATGCCATTTTTGTGTGCTCGTTGTTTTGTTCGTATATGTTGTCTTTAAATGCTGTAAGTTGCTTTCTCTAAGGAGAAAGGTGGGGTAAAAATATTTTAAATAAATGCAAAAGAGAACACAGTGGGAATGATGTTATCGGCAGCAGTCAGTCGCTACTGATTAAAGGCTTCTTTTTGTGATTTGGGGACACGTGTGATTTTGCACCATTACGTATGAGCCACATGCATCCCAAAATCCCAGAAGGCAGCCTTTCATCTGTGACAGCCTTCCTTTGCTGTTGACTTCATTCTTGTTGAGCAGGCAGACTTGTGCCACAGTATTTCAGGCGCTCTTGCCTGCACCCAGAGTAGCAACAAATCACACTAGAAGCAGAGACTCGTGGAGTCCTGAAATTTAGTTTAAGGAATGTAACCTGGCATGCTATTCAATTTGAAAGAGAGTAGAAGCTGGGCCTCCTGCAAACTTGGAGTTGGTATCATTGAAGGCTGGGAAGGCTTCAAGCCCCAAGCAGATTGCATGGGAGAGTCTCCCCCCATGTTTGTCATAAGAGAAGTGACTCCCCTGGCACAAGAGGAACATGACTAGATCTAGCCTGTAAGCCTCTTCTTTTTCCTGCCCCTAACTTAGAATTCATCACCCATAGTATGCCTTTTATACTACCATATCACCTTTTCTCCCCCCCACCCCACAACAGTATGACTGGACAGGGTAATTATTCATGAGTAAATAGGTAATTTAAATTCTTGACAGCATTCCGAAAGCAGACCAAAGTCATCTCCATCCCTTTGCTACCATATTGACATGGTCTCATGAGTGATGTTCACGGGCTGGGTGTCTTTAGTACCATTTCTGTATTAAGAGATGCTAAATGTTTGATAGCCTTGGTCTCTGGAGTACAATATGCAGTGTTTTATATATAGATTTATACATAAAATATACATGGGGCTCTGGTTTCAACTACAAACTGGCTTTGACTGGTTGCAACGAGAGCAGTTTTTCACACCATTCCTTAGCAGAGAATACTAAACTGCTGCTTATCCTCTTTTCTTTTAAATCATGCCAGACACTTTTTGGTGGTGTTTGTTATCTGGAATTTATTGTGTTGAAGACTGAACGTTAAACATGTAAGGAAAAGTTAATTACTTTTGCATTAACTGCAGTTGACAACGAATTTATGCCTTTCACCTGAAACTGGGACAGATACTTTCCTGCCTTGTAAGCGCCTGATGTCAAAAACAATTCAGCTGTGATTCATTAAGCCCTTTAAAAGTTCAGTGGCACTTCATTTCTTTCAGCTTTTCCTCATAGGGCTTTGTTTCCAGTCTTCTAATCATTTCTGAACTTCTTCCAATTTGTCGACATCCTTCTTAAAGTATGATGTCCAGACCTGGACATAGTACTCAAGATGAGGCCTAATCAGTGACAAATAGAGGGGAACTAATAATTCATGGGATTTGGAGATAATCCTTCTGTTCATGCATTTTAAAATTGCATTTGCCTTTTTTGCAGCCACATCATGCTTATTGGCTCATATTCGTTTTGTAATCTACAACAATTCCAAGGTTCTTCTCACATGTAGTTTTACTGAGCCAAGTATTCCTACTTAAGCATTCTCTGCATTCCTTTATTCAAGCCATTAATAAAAATGTTGAAGAGTACAATGCCCAGGACTGAGGGCAACTTCATCAGTACGTCCCTCCATCAGCAGTCACTTGGCACTTGCTGGTGTTTCAGGCTGCAGCAAAGGAGAAGGAGAGCAGCAGGACACCCCCCCCTTCAGTTTTACTGAAAGACCAAGACCCTTTTTGTCTTCACCTCCAAAAACTGTTTCCATTTCAGCTGTGCCAGTTGTTGCAACTAAGAACTAGTACCTGATCTAGCCCCATCCGCCAGCCACCCCCACACCTTTTTCATGTGTGCCATTTCTTGGATTGCAAGCCTGAGAGCAGAGACTGATCTACTCAGGAAGGTTCAGATAAATAAATTAATAGATCTGAACACTACAGCAGAACATGGTGGCAGGATAGACTGCATCATCCCAGAATATGGCAGGGAATAATATTTTATAGATGTGTTGTTTTAACAAAGCTGTAGAATAGAAAACTTGAAGACTGAAATGCTCTCCTCCATACTTTTCTGTTTGAAGGTAAAACATTCAGAATGTTCCACCTGCCATTTGAAGTGAAATAGTCCACTTGATTACCTCATTATACAGATCACCCACACAGAGCTCAGCTTCATTTAACATTTATTCCACGTAGTCTGTAACTTACTCTATTGCACTAGTTGACTTAGAACAGCTCACAGATTTCAGTGGAACAAACATTATGCAAACCCCAGATGTAAGATTAAAAATATGAGAGAAAGTAAGATTAATTTTGGTCCCTTGCCCCGGAGGAAGACCAATAAACTGGCAAAGTTCTTCCACTGATGTACTTTCTTAGCAGTCAGTGTTGTGAATCAAGAACTGTAATGCAGAAGGAATGGCAGTGCATCAGCTAAAACCCAACCATCATCCACACATTACCAGAGCCTCAAACCTGTAGTTGGGAATAACGTCAGGTAACTGACTGTGTTCTTGTCTTCTTGAGAGCTAAGCAAATGTTATACTGTACTGTTTGTTTGTTATAGAGCAGTGATGGCGAACCTATGGCACGTGTGCCGCAGCTGGCATGTGAAGCCCTTTCTTCTGGCACACGACAAACCTTTTGAATTGGCTGCAGCTGGGATTCCCCTTTTCCTGTTCTGGGTCCTTTAACTTCCTGTCTCTCCCATGATTCCCCCTTTAACTTCCTGTCCGTCCTCATGATTCCCCCTTTAACTTCCTGTCCGTCCTCATGATTCCCCCTTTAACTTCCTGTCCGTCTCCATGATTCCCCCTGAAACTGCCACTTCCTGTTCCGGTTCTGGTCTTCTGGGCGGCACGGCAGCCACTGGTTTCTTCCCAATTCCCTCATTTTGGGCACTCAAGCCGAAAAAAAGTTTGCCTCCACTGTTATAGAGCCTCGTGGTGCAGTGGTTAAACTGCTGTATAGCTGCCAAAACTGTGCTCACGGCCTGAGGTTCAATCTCGGGGATCCAGCTCAAGGTTGACTCAGCCTTCTCTCCTTCCCAGGTTGGTAAAATACGTTCCCAGCTCCTGGAGCGGGGAGCATGTGTGTAGCCTGCCTAATTAAATTGTAAACATCACACAGAGTGCTTGAAGCACTATGGGACGTTATATAAGCAGCACCCTTTTTGTTTGTTTTTGTTTATGTGAGAGAGTTGTTTCATATTTAGCCCCTCATCCAAAATTTCAGGCATATAGGCCTCACCACTCTAGTGAAGAGTCACCTACCGTTGGGCATTCTGTTTCCTAAAACAGGTTTGAAACCTGTTCTTCTTGTTTTGATTTGGATTGTTTTCACCTACAGTGCAGACATTGAAAGTGATTATCTGCATGCAAGGTATCTTGCCAGCATAGTAAACCAGATGGTACAGTGACAGCTGAGTCAAAATATAGGCAGCGTTTTAA